CTTCTTTTGAAAACATATTTTCATCGTCGGGCTTCTTACAAAAATTCTTTTTCAAACGCAATAACTTCGACTTTACAGGCGTGAATGCGAGTTATTTATCCATTTGGTATACATACGTTGAGGTAATGTTAATTTCTAAGTAAATAAACAGAAATACTTTGCTTCAGCACTAAAACTCTAACACTGTAATATTTGCTAAAACATACATTATCTGCCTGCATAACGGATACATATCAAGAAAAGTTTCTTAATAAAATAGATCACTTTTTCAAAATTGAACTATACATTTTCTTGACATACACCTGCCAACGATTGTTAGCATAGATTAAAAAATACCACTGAAATAATTTCTTCGTCATTATGTCAGAAGTATTTAACTTTTTGACAGTCTGATTATCTTGATCAGTTTTGTCGATAAGAGAACACGGATGGTCTGTGATTGGTAGTATCATCTTTTCGATTAAGCGACTGGAACATTTTAGTTAGATCACTGTTAAAACTTTAAACAACAATAATAGACACACTTCAAAAACAAAGACATCAAAAATAGAAACATGTTAAAGTTATAATTAAAACAATAAATTATAAAAAATATATTGTATGTACACGGACTATAATACAAAAAAACATTAAATATGTTTTAGGAGAAAATCATTGTTAACCTCTACTAAAAGGCTTATCTGGGCGCCTAAGCTTTTATAGGTTTATATATATTACAGTGATTATGTAATGGTTACCTTTTCCGAAACAAATGAATTGATTCCGTTATTAAATGAATCATAAAAGTCAGTTGACTCATTTTTAAGAAACACGTACAAATAGAAACAAAAAAACGCCTTTTTCGAGATATGTTAAAGAATTAAGTTATTTCATTAATTAAATTATTCCCATTTGTTTATAAGGTAGTTTAAAAAGTAATACATAAAATATTATTTTTGTGTTATTTTTATTTTGTATTAACCTAACTATTTTAAGAGCTTGAAATCTTACAAATTTAATACGGTGCAATTTGCGGCTAATCTTCAAAATTGTTTCAATTTAAAAAAAAAACATTTTTTTGGTCATGTCCCATAGTTATGTATTTTCTTCGAATAATGTAAATTTATTTGGTTATTTCAGTATTACTTAATAGAAACATCGTTCGCCTTTTTTTGATGGTACACTGAACTCCACAGTACCTCGTACTATATACAATTTTGTTGGATTCTTATTTATGTATTTATTTATTGTCAACAAAATTTCAAGGATAGAAACTTGCATTTACATTTTTTAAATATTTTTTTATTAAAGAATAAGTGCGCAATTGACCTCCATCTCATCATGATGAAGCATGCACACCTAAATAATATTCACTCTTGCCTTGAAAAGATACAAGCTATAGATACTGTTGAGGGAACAAGTCTGTAGACAGGGAATTCCATTCCAAAGCCGTTCGCTTATATAAAATGGAAACGAAACGCTTCGTGAGAATCCTTGGAATATCCAAAACATAAGGATGGAACCTTAACTTACGTCCATATAATCCCCCGATAATGGAAAGGGAAACAATGCCCTTGCACTCTGCGTGACATGTCCTGCACAATATTTTGGTTATATATAATTATTAAATCAAGAACTACTATATCGTTGATATTAATTAAGAAATGCAGTGTTTTATGTTACAAAATTTTGCTTAGCTTAATATTATAAAGCTACCGTTAAAAATACCGTACATTAATATATCACGAAATAAAAATCACCGAAAGGTTTAATTAAAATTTTATAACGTTTTCCTATAAAAATGCCATTTGATATTATATTATTCTTGAAAAAATATTTAATAATTTCAATGGATAAATGCTTTCTGTTGAATACTTTTTACTTTTATACATTTTTTTTTATTTTAATATATTAGGATAAATAGATTCTCGTGAATTTGTTATAATTTTCAACTATGCTGAATGTACGTAAATCTAAGTTATTTTATAAGATCTCTCTGCTGTCAAAATTGTCTCTGTACTTTTCGTGTCTTGTCTGCCTAGGATGGAAAAAAATAAAGCTTGCTTTCTACAATAAACCTTAGAGGAAAGCAATAAACCGCCGAAACTGACACTGGCCCTAGCCTAGTAGTCACCATTAAAGAAATAGAAATACGACAAACCGAGTTAATTTTCAAGTCTTATTTGTTTTTATTCTAAATTAGAAAAATAACATAACAACGACACATTGACACTTTCTAAAATTCTAATTTAGAATTGCGCTATCTTTGTGCATTTTCTTCAGACAGGAACTCAAAATCAGTAGGGCGAAGCGGGGCAGTTCGACAGGTCACAAAATGTTTTCACAGCCGTTAACTAAAAAAATTAGCAACACAAATACGAGTGCCACTGCAGTTTTGTTCACTGCACAGGGTTTTATGTCCTAATACAGGCAGGGTAAACTAGTATTTTCAATAACTAGAATCGGATGTGACTGAGAGAATATATAGGTAATGTTTTTTTTAATAAATATTCTTTTCTATACTGGCTGGTGGGGTACTTTATACACTAGTGAGTGTGGCAGTTTGGTACGTGTCAAAGTGCTAGGAATTAGTTATTTTGTAGGAAAAATATAAAACTGTTTCAACAAGTCAATGTAAAGAGGTGAACTAGCGACATTTTGCGTTATAGTCAGCTATTCCTCCTGTATTTCTACTTCCAAGACTACATTACAAAGAACACTTTTCAAATGGCTCTAGAAAGAAGTCTTGATAGATCAAGTGCGGAGGCACATATAGCGTCATACTTAATGAACGGTTGATCACATAGTGCTGATAATACGTGGCAACCAGGCATGCCACATTACATCGATTCACACATTCTAAGTGCCCCAAGCGATGTATAAAAGTACCCCACAGGTGGGGCAGAATTTGACAATTCCCATTTTTTGTTAAAATCAAAATTACAATTATTCAATCCTATTTATGAAAGAAAAGATTAAATTACTAATGTTTATTACTTATATCATCAATTAGTTAGAAAAAATATTGATTATAATTTAATTTAGTAGCCCAAAATTAAAGTTAAAAAAAGTGTACGAATCTGCCCCGCTTCCCCCTAATATAAAATCTTTAAAAAAATTTAGACTTTAAATTGTCGAAACTGTCGTTGGAAATCACATAAAGGACGTTTATGATGGTCCCTGAATTATCTCAAATGTTAGGCTAATGTATTAAAGAAGATTTTAAACGGTTCACTTTGTAGACAGACCGTGAAGTGTTCGCGTCATTTCACGCTCACGAGTATGTTAGGAATGCAGCATTCGAAATGCTGCTTTTTGTGTTCTCCGCGTAAACGATTACATATTACCCAGATACATTCTTGATTTGATATATTTATAAAAAAAGAAGATATTTAAATGAATTGCAAAATAGAATATGGATTTGAGTTGCTAAGGTATGCTCTTGCGCATTTAACAAACCTTCAACGCAATATAGACATAGATTTTAAGACTAAATGTTTATTCGCTACATGTTTAACATTTGTTTAGAACAGAACAGCAGTATTGGCAGAAGAATATACAGTTATACCGAAGTAAGAACCCTGTAACTAGTAGCTGTCAACATTGTAACCTGCTATTATTCAACCGCGAAAAACTGATTTATGTATTTACAGCTACCTAAATTTACACGTTTTTAATTTAAACACTAATTAAATTGAGCTTTAAAAACACTAATTAATTTGAGGTATAAATCTATCTCATTCTAAATAAAGAAACAAACATGTACAGTACACAACTACATACATATAAATATTAAAATATTGTGCTATTCAAATATAGTCAGTACCTGTTACGTGATACACATTATGTAAAAACATAAGGACAAAAATAATTATCACTCAAAACAAACTATTTATGGTCCAATCGATAATCACAATCTAATTAATAATAGCGACAGAGGCACAAATCATCGTTCATTTTTCCCACAATCGTTACGATAAAAAACCTAATCATTGAAACAAATAAAAATGGAGGTAACATAAAAAGGACTCCCAGGTGAGATGAAAGGGACCCGCACCAGTAATTTGCCGCCGAGACGCAGGCGCGCATGTTAACATGATCAGACGGAAAGCTACTTCCTTTACAGGGTTTGTTTCCGCTAATGAAGCGTTTTTCGGGGAGTGTGATTTTTTAATATTTTACTTTATTTATTTTTATGCAAGTTACGTAGCAATTAGTTCTCAAAACCTATTTAGTTACCTATTGTACTTTTTTTATGACACAAGTGTGCATTGGACCTCCATCTCAACTGATGGTAAGTAACGATGAGGTCGAAGATGGAGCAAACACACCCAAATAATGCCTATACACTTTCGCCTCGAAATGGCCCAAGTTACAACGTTCAGGGAATAAATCTGCAGGCAGGGAAATTCACTCCGTAGCCGTTCGTCATATAAATTTCGAAGCGTATTTAACGTTTCGTGCGAATACTTGGGATATTCACAACTTCAACACAACAAATTATTATAAATGGAATGGAATTAATAATATTTTTTTCATTTGGCTGTAACACTTTTTCCTTTCTATTTGGTGGATTTCAATTCACTTGACCTGTACATACAATATTGCAAAAAAATGTACAATAAAAATAATCTCTTATTCAACGGTTGCGGATGAGAGCAATAAATCGATACATCCGTCGGTGTGCGCCGGCGCAATTCCACGCGCGAGATCTCTATGTTAATTCCAACAACGCTTTACACCTGTCCGGAACGTTATATCCGCACATTGTCTACGAATCCTAGAAAAATGTCACCTCGCCTAAGTTATGTAGGAAACGGATTAGATTTTTTTATTTGGTTTATTCGATTTTAACATTTTGTTAATTTATTTGTATTCGATATTTATACTGTTCCCAACAAAAAATAGTTCCAAAAATGTTGGCTGCACAACAAGGGAGAAAGCCTACTTTTCCAGTTTTTAAATTACGTCAAATTCTGTGCAGATTCGAACCAACTAAATCAACAAAAGGAGCGAGCAAAATGCGCCGCGACCTAATCAACGCGGAGATATCCAATCTTCGGGACCTGCTCCCATTACCACCCTCGACGAGACAGAGATTATCTCAACTTCAACTCATGGCTCTTGTGTGCGTGTATGTGAGGAAAATAAACTATTTCCAGCAAGGTAAACAAGAATTAACACCTAATTTTATTTCAGATATATAGATTTATAACTGATGTAAGAGACAGATTCGTTAAATTTTATATTGGATATCACATTGAAGGACGCCATTGACAATAAATAAGACATTTACATTTATGGTTAGGACTCCTATCACGGGCCTCTAGAATAGCTCATCATTATATCTCTACATATCTTAAATAGTCCTAATTTTCTTAGTTTTCAAGTTATACTGTACAACATTATCCAAACTTTACATCCACTTTTTCCTGACCGTGTAAAAATTTTTCTCAACAGTTTCTCATGCTCCAAATCTTTGTTTAAACTCATCACGTGCATCGTTATCCTAAATCTTGTCCTTTCATATTTTCAAAACATCTCCCAAACTTTTTGTCAGCTCACCTTTAGTCACGAAATGGCATATTAAGACGTTTAAAATGCATTTACTTCGTTATCTTATCTCTTGTTGCTATTACTTCACCCATAATTCCGTCTTTCTTTTCGTTGTAGTGTTTAAGAGTCACGACTTCAGCTATCAGTATCAAGAACAAGCGACTCCTACACCTAATATTGGATTTTCAAAGGTATTTTTTATTTCAAGTTTACGAGCGTTTAAAGTGAAGCCATAAAAATTGTGTGACTATCGTTTACAATGTTTTTTTCTTCAGGCAATGAATGGTTTTATTATGATGATGACACAAAATGGAAAACTTTTATACATATCGGAAAACGCAGCTGAATATTTAGGGCATTCGATGGTAAGGACTTACTAAAATATTGAAAACTAAATATATAGAACATGTTTCATTGGTTTTCATAAATAGTTGTTTACTGAATTTTTATATTTCAGGAAGACCTACTAATACATGGTGATAGTGTATATGATATAATAGATAAACAAGACCACCTGATGGTTCAAGTTCAGCTTAATAGAAATGGTAACGAGACTGAAAATGTACCAAAGAATACACATTTCTTCTGTAGAATGAACGTATCAAGAAACGCAAGAAGGCAAATGAGATTTGGCGACCAAAAAGTATGTTTAATTTTAATGTTAATATGTTACATAACATAAAAATTATCTTAGTGGAAGAGACTAATCAATTGAACTCATTGTAGGTAGTTCTTGTAAGAGGTCATTACGTGTCGTACCTGCCGTTGTGCAGCCGCAACGAGCCGGTGTTTCTGGCAGTGTGTACGCCGCTCGCCATGCCCGAGACGCGCGAGTGCGTCGTGCACGGTGCCACCAATGTCTTCACCACAGTGCACGCCATGGACATGAAGATCCTGCATATTGACGCTAAGTAAGTACTATTATAGCGTAGTATATTGTGGTACTCCTTTAGAACGATCACTCTTCGCTCCGCATTAAGCCAATTACCTCACCGATGTAGGTAAGAATCGGTAGTTGAATTACAAGCACTCGTTCGTGTCTTAATGATTATGATATCTTATAATATCCACTTTCAATAAAAAATGCACTAGCATTTTATGTAAACATGTGTCACCTACATATTATAATTCCTCCTAAACTATGCAACCAAAGTAAAGGGACCATTTTATCTTCAAAAATTCCCCACATGACAAAATGATTATTTTTAATAAGTTAAACATATTGTTCATAATATAATTACAACTAAAGACAATCGAGACATAAACTTTCTTATATTTTATTATAAAAATGTGGCTTAAATATGAAAGTTACGTGAATTGTGTCGCTGACTTTTTTGTAGATCTATTAATGGCTAATACACAATTTTGTATAAGGTCAGTATGGGTAAGTGTAGCTAGGGGGTAAACGTGGCTGCTCTTCTTATCACAAAAAATAATTGACCTTTTCATATAAGTGCCATCTGTTATTGTAATTAAAAGTACCACTGATTCACACTTTCAAATCTAGATCGCGCTGTTAGGTACTTTCGTAGCTACCGTCATTATCAACTCTGTCGCTTTTTTAATACAAGTCTCAATTGACATATAGCGTTTCAATGTACACAAATTTTGGTGATTTCGATGAGAGCGGGTATTTTGTATTTGGCAAGTTCTTTTTTTACTTGTTAAGCTTAATATTACACCTATATCACCTGGGCTGTTAAAAATAAAAGTTGTATGTGTATTTAAAAAAACATAACCATAAAATTAGGTGATCGGGGAAGTGTGCCTACTTTAGTTGAGGTAAGTGTGTCTATGTGTCACACTTGCCCCAAGTCAGAGGTGGTACACACTAATTTATTATTTTAGTAATTACCGATGATTAATCATAAATATATAATGATTGTGGATAAAATTAGTGTAATATTCGAGATTAACGTTTCAAGTAAGAAGAGAACAGTCAGCAAGTCTACTGTGACTAAATCTTGTTTTAACTTTAGTGCATGCAATGGAACACAGAGAACTATTTGTATTTTTTATTTAAACGAATAGTAGGGACTTTTATTAATCACAGTAGATGAAAGAGAATAATCCCGTGAGCCCTTTTAAAGAGTGTAAGCCAGGTCAAGAATCCTTTATTATATTTTATTCTAAGCACCAATAGGTATAGCGGTTTTTTATTTTTTTTAAAAGATTTTCCAGCACTGTCTGAAGCACAGTATGTTACACTTATTATACCTCATAACTTTTTTATCTTAAATGTTTTAAACAACATATGTAAGTAATATTGATGATAAATAATTGCTTGTTGTACTTAGGTAACATAATCTTTGAAATTTACAATAAAAAATAGTTATCCATCGTACATTAGCGATGTAGTCACACTTGCCACGGTTCGACGGGGAAGTATGTCTAGAGTAGTGCTTTCAGTTTTAGACCTTAACAAATCTTATGAAACGTATTGTTTTCAGCCAATTATGAACCTTATTAGATATTGTCATAAAAAAAGTTTAAAACTCAACCTTAAATGGCTTCATTTTTATGTTCAAAATAAACTTCATAAAAAAATATGTCACACTTACCCATACTGACCTTACTATTTTCACGTACACTTATCAAACAAACCATTTGGGCAGCACACGCACGGCCTTTCGGCTAGTACACGCATAACCTCTGCCATACGGTCAACAGACAACTCGACAAAAATTCTAAAAATTATTGTTTTCGGTTAAGTAGCGTGTTTTAAGTAGGTAGCACTAACTTTTATTATAAAACATTAGAAGTACAGACTTGTTTACAACTTTATTATAAAATATAGCTTTTCAGCCCTGAATAATATTATGAAATTATACATATACATACATATTTAGCGATATTCAAATCAATTTGTAGCTCGTATTTTATCATGTGCAACATCATGCCAATTATTAATTCTATACATGATTTACTCTGTTCATTAACCCTAAACAACACGTAATAAAGGACATGTGACTAAAATGTCAATAACAATTTAAATTTACGCTGTATACTACTGGGTTTTGTTAAGAAGAGTGACATTGCGAATATATATATCTATCGCACCGATATGTATGATATGCCATTTTTAAATTTCGACAATCCGTTTAAAAGCCGTACGTTGTTAAAAAATTTATTCAATATCACAAGTCTTAGAGCGACTTCATTTTAAGCGTCAAAAGCAACTTGTTATTGTTTAAATAACGGAATTCTTGTTACAAATTTATTTATAACAAGAATATATTGCATTTCTATTTCAGCGGCGAATGGTACCTAGGTTGGAAAAAAACCGAACTTACAGAAGTATCGTGGTATCAACTGTTACATTGGGACAGTTTGCGAGAGGCTCAAAGTAAACACAGACTAAGTAAGTTGAAAACACTGAACACACATTTATTTTTACACAACTTTTTATTACTGCGTTTCTCACTACTAGTCATAAGAAAGTATAATATTTATGCAATCACATATAGAATAGTGGTCTATTTCAAGAGCATCTAATTTCACCAAGACTTAGCACAACAGGGCGCGACTTGCGCTAGAGCGACATAAAGCGCGAGGTACTGCTATTCTCGCATAGAAGTCCCGCGATTCGCTCGTCGTCGCTCTCGCGTAAGTCGCACCCTGCCATGCTAGCCCTACAGGAAGATGATTTAAAAACCTGAGGCATGTCTAGCACGCAAATGAATTATAGTAGACTACCTCAACTTTGTCATGTGATTATTTTAGCCAATGAAAAACTCGGTCTCCCATGCGCATTAAAATCTAGCATTTTCTTAACAAACCTCAGTAATAAGTCTGAAAGGAATTATTTTGGATTAGGCCACAATTCTTGATAAGTAGCGGTGTGTATTACATAGAGGACATCTATTCGAATTTATACCACTGATTGTATAATGAAGAAAACAAACAAAGAAAGAACAGAAAAAACAAAATTCATAAACTGTCATTTAGAAGTTACATATCTTCACTACATTCTTTCATCAAGGCTACAGTGTGTACGTCTATTGATGTACTTTGTTGGTATATTCATCTTGTTCGTATGACTGTGACAATATCGGAAATTCGTTGCAGTAACACAATCAGAACAAGATAAATGCTGCATACTGCTGGTAAAGCTGCAGCAGCGCTCTGGTCAATTCATTTGGGTGCACGTGGTACTGCAAGTGAAAGACGCGGCCGACACTCCACGACAATTCATCATTGCCACTAACCAAATTCTCAGGTGAAGTTATCGAGGTTAAATTCTTACTCGTTTCGTTAAACTTTTCTTAATTTTTATAACTATTTTGTTATAACCTTTCTTTTCGATGTTACAGTCTTGATTGAATTAGTTACAGTCTTTCTTTATGTTGCATTCATTCTGTAACATATGCAAGCTTGTTCTTATCATTTATATCGTAACTTAAGAATTATATATTTGTATGTTGTCCCTAATATCGTATATATCGAAAGACGATTGGTTTAGTGAAACGAAAAAGCCAAAAACACCGAATCTGGAGTAATAGTCTCTAAGAAACTATTCTAAGTATGCTAAGCGTACGCTTAGCTAAGTGTAAGCTAGTGAGTACTAAAAACTTTTTCTTTGCGAGTGTTTTAGCATTGCGAATAACGATATTTTTGAAATCTGCAGTTCTAAGAACTTGGAGGGAGCATAGATAGATATTTCATCAAGACATACGAATTTTATTACAAATAATATTGCACTATAATGGTATTGTACTTATTCGTGCTTCTCCTAAGTTTAAGTTATAAAGCAAATTGGCGAATATAAAATTAAATAGGTAATTTTATAAGCGCTCAATATTTATAAAGGTGTTTTACTTCACAGTGAAGAGGAAGCGTCGATAATGCTAACCAACTCGTGGTTGTACCAATACTACGGTTACCAGAACCAGCAGTGCGGAATATTGGACCCTCGGTGTCAGAAATTCTTCCGACGTGAATCTTACCAAGAGCCGTATCAAGAACCGTACTCTTACTTAGAGAACCCTGAAGTGGAATATGGGTACCATTTGTCACCATATGTCCCGCAGAAGCCTGTCGAAGACTACAACGGATGTGAAAGGGTGTATACTGAGAGAGGACCTGTTGACTATTCCACCCATTCTCCACAGTCAACGATTAGCGACGAAAGGTAAGATAATAAATTCTTAAAATACCTTATGTATAATGTAACCATGTACAGTCAAGAGCACGTCAAGCTTGACACTTTGTACTTTGGACCGTTCTTTTCGTAAACGACATAGAGTTGGATTTAAATCTTAAGTGTCAAGCGTGACAAGTATAGACAGTTTCAAAGCTGAAGTCAATATTTTTTTTTTATAACAAAACCGACCTCAAAAATTTGTGGAATTATATTTATTAGCCAAGTTTTATTGAAATCGATGAACGAATCGATGAAATCGACGAACCAATAAATCGGATTCATCCGCTATTTTGCCACCCTTAGAGATGAATATTTCAAAGTTCAATGAGGCCACAACTGAGGTATCCTCTTTTCAAAAAAAAATCATCGAAATCAGTTCATAAATGTAGGAGTAAATACAGTCGAATTGAGAACCTCCTTTTTTAAAAATAAATAAATCCTATTTGCAATAAACAAATCCTATTTGCAATAAACATCGAAAATTGATAGCAATATAGACCTAGGTAAAATAAAATATTTCTGATTATGTTCATAAAGATACTGACGCAGAAGACGGTAAGGTCGCAGCTTATAATTTGTACACGTCATGTCACACCAACAAGGAATATAAATAAGAAAATCATCGCCCTGTCCGTCTGTCCGTCCATCCGCGTAATTTGACACCTTTCATTACCATATTTATTGTAAGTCGTTCTTCTCCAACAGATCTTTACGCCTTCATAAAAACCTTAGCGCTCTAAGACGTTAAAATACAGTCGAAAATTGCACAGCGTATTTGTTGCAACTACAACACAAGATTGCTTGGTGTTAACCAAATACGAATAATGTAACGTAAAAAGGATTTAGAATATATATTTTTGTAGTAGTTTACACGTTCAGTATTGTTCAGTGTTAAGTTCTTGAAATTTATCTTGTACGTTTTAAAGTATTGTTTTGTCTATGCAACATAATATATAAATATATACAACAAGTTCACGTTTCTTGATAATAAATAGTCTTTTCTAAATGTATTGTAACCATAGATATACATTACTAGGTTTAACACTAAACGATGTACTGCATGTAACACGAACAGTTAGAAATTGCGAATTTATTTGTAAGTCAATGGAATATCCGATACTTTTTTTACTAGGAACAACAACAGCTTACTATTGGCTAGATTTAAATGACATAAAAAAAGAAAAACAAAGATTTGCAACAAGTACACAGAAAAAATCGTAAGGTCTGTTGCTTCCGTTCCGTAGCTCAGTTGGTAGAGCGTCAGACACGGTATGCTGTAGGTGCCCGTTCAAATACAGCTGGATTGACGGAATTTTTCTTAATGTCCGTAATCTTTGTATTAATAATTAGAAAAAAATCTGATTATTCTCAAATTACATAAGTGAGCGAGAGCGAGATATATACAGGAAAGACACGCACATAAATAAATATTATAATATAGAACACACACGTATTAAATATGACATAAAAATTTCTTAATAATATTGTATGATTAAATATAATAATTTTATAGTATAAAATATAACAATTTGAGTTTAAAATTTAGAGTTTATTTTTCGGTTTAAATTAATATTTTTTAACTGCAAAGGAATCTATTTCATTCAAATGATTTATTACAGCTTTTTTAATAAATAAATAAATAAGTGCACATTTGACCTCCGTCTCACCTGATGGAAAGTGACGATGCGGTCGACGATGGAGCATGTGACCCAAATAATGCCTATTCACTCTCGCCTTCAAAAAACCCAACTAATAACGTTTAGGGAATAAATCGATTACTAAGTGGAGTGTTCATATAGGCAACAATTTACTGCCCCTCTACACATGACATCACAAAAAACTTACTTTTAATATATATAAAAGGAGCAAAGATTCTCATTATGAAGGCGTAACCAGCATCGTGGGAGTAATCAAAGTTTTGCTTCCAGATCGCCTCATCACTACGATCCGCCTCCGGAGGTGGTTGTCAACAGCAGTATGTACATGTATCCACACCATGGAAAGAGAGATTATTATGAACAATTTCCGAGGACACACTATCAAATGCAGGAACCTTGTGCTACTGCTACTATAGAAGGTAATAAAAAGGTTTACGGCCCTGTTTACGGCAAGATTTTAGCCCAAGTCGTATTTTAATTAAAGGTCTTGATTTAAAAGTTTGTTTTAAATAGTTCACATGATATGTTTCACGAAGTAACACGTGTTATTTCTATAGATTTGAATTAATTCTTTGCATTCTAGTCGGATACATTTCAAAAATTCTTGTCAAAAAATATAAATTTTCAGGAACGGAATATCCGAGTCCAAAACGGATGCGTGTAGCGCCACCTCCACTATCGTTATTGGAAGGAACAGATGGCATGGATCGCTGGAATCCTAGTCCACCTTGGTCAGACACCACGCTCAAGCTACCAGAGTATAGTCAGAGGTTCACTTATGGTCACGTGATTTCCATGCCTCCTGAACGCGCCATGGTCACCTAAAACACATTTGATTGAAATAGTAAATAGGCACAATTTTTCACAAGGTAGGTGAATTATATTCTACTAGGCTGAAGCGAAATAAGCGAATGCGAGTATTTATTATTAGTATTGCATGTGCGATTTTTTTTTACTTTATTCTATGTTTTCACGCGTTATTTTGTGGTGTCTCTATTTTTTATAGTCATATAATATTAAAAATAATTTTATTTTGTTGCCAGAAATAACCTGCTTCTGCTCATATGTGAGAAACGGCTGCTCGTCACCAACGACGATCGTGTTAATGATGCCAACTTTTATATTCAACATAATTACGTTTTATAAATCTCCCGTATAATACCTTACATTATAATGATTATTTATATGTTCCTTTTACGGTTACACATTATGCGTTAATGAAAATTGTCAGTCTATTTTATATTCTAATACATTCTCATGATGTTTTCATTAATAAAAATTAAATTTATTTTAAATTCAATTAGCATGATAATAATGTAAAGAAAGTTAATTAATAGCTACAGCCGACAAATATTTTGCGGTTTAGCTCAGGAACATTGTTGAATTTATCTATCACTATTCATTATGAAGTCCATTTTGTATGTAGTAACTAAGTAGGTAGAATAGGACATATTTTCATTAGTTGATGGGCTCGATTGTGTACTCGCCTATCTGAACCCGAAATAATTTTACAGTCTCTATTGGTAGAGAATACTACATTTTCGTAATTTCAAATGCAACTAAAGGTTCAGAAATATACAGAACGCAATCGATACCAGTGTATAGAGATATTGGTAGTGATATATTTAAGTGTGTATTTGTAGGTTATATTACATTTGTCAGCATCAAGTTTGGGACAAATTTCTTGTCGAACCCCACAGGAGTGAAGACTGACAAGTAACTTCTGACCCTTGAAAATAGTGGTACTTAATTACATTATTTATCTATATCTGTAGTCTTGACAGTTTTGAGGAACGTAAAAATATCGTATTGTCTCTAGAAAACGTTCCGTAATTTCTAAGGTGAAGATGTGACTTGTCGGCCTCTACTTGCATGCTGACAAAATGTTGCGTCACGTGAATGAGCATTGTTCCGTCCAAAAATTTGCGTATTGCATTCCAAAGGAAGAGTAATTATTATTTTGTAGTTTACATTTATTTTACTATTTTAAACCATTATGTAAATATTAATTCCACATTAAAATTACATGACCTAATGAGCAAGCTTCTAAAGTGGGTGAAGGAATTCAACACTTTTTGCTCTATCATTGTCCAAAAGCTAACTTGGCCATTTTTACTTGTACACTTATAGGTAATTATACAATTAGCACATTAGAGTATGCAACCTAGTTCATGAATTCTAAATTACCAAACTCGTATTTAAATTTGTCAAAGAGTAGCTCAGTGAACTCAGATTTGACCATTTTTTACTTTCATATAAAACACTCCTTCTACGTCAAGTTTCATGGTTAGAAGCAACCTAAAAGGATCGGGTTACCGGTCAGTGAGTGGTAAAATTATTATAGCCACTTACTCGACTTAATATCTAAAAATATAATAAAGCTAGAATAATGAAATTTTATACACTATTAAACAAGAAGCGAATTATGCAAAATTTTATCTGAGTATAATAAATAAGCGCCTATTTGTGTAAATTTTACGTGTTGCACATGGACCAGTGTTATTTGCAGGAACTTAGCTTCGTCCTACCGCGCGTTTAGATGTTCGGTATTTATTGTAGCAAACTGCAGTTTCTCTAAATGATAATAAGAAAGTTGAGAAATGAGAAAAAAGAGTTGAATAATAAATGATGAAAGTAAAATATGCCTTTGTATTACTTCTATTCCTTTTGATAGACGGAAAACCACCACAGCGAATTTTAGATGGAGTGCAAACACTCTACTTCATAGGCAAACTGCATCTAAAAAGCAGTTCAAAACAATATTCACTATTACTATTACTACACAAACAATAGTATAACAAAAAGCATAGTATGATCTAGAATAAGTGGTAGGGAACGAAAAAAATCACTACTTTTGGTAAGTACCAGATTTGGAGACGTGATAAAAACTCAATATACATTTCAGTCATTTTTGGGTCGTGCTTACTATTAACAATTTATAACGAATTTCGAAAAATTTTAACACAAGAAAGTTTTTCACGAAGTTTTATATATTATGGTGGAACACCTTTTAAACTTAACTAAACAGTCCTCATTTGCGTGTTTGATCTTTGAATTTCATCAGTTAAACGAAATTGTTTAAATGTCTAATGCGTACGATTCACATTGACCTTGTTGATAGTAGTAATAGCGTAGCTGTCGTCCATTTTAATTAGTTAATGCAAACGTGCAAAGCTCGTCTAAAATATTTGCATACCTAAAATTAACAACAAATGATTTACGTATACCCTACTAGTTTAGTAGATAGGTTATACATATTTTTATATAGCCTGTCTTTTTTGAAGATGGAGTAAAATGACATTTGCAGGGTTGCCAGTTTTCATCAAATTTTAAATAGTCATATAGTTGTTGTCGACAGTTTTATCGATGATTATGAAAGAATGTCAAATTTTATCAAAAACATCATCGAATTGTAAATGATGAATGACGTTCTAATGATTACGAATAGCGATATTTCTTTCTTCATTCTTATTTTGACAGTTGACATACTAGTATCGAAATCAGTTTTCATTCATATAAACAAAAACCGGCGGATTGATTCGGCAGACGATGATTCAAATAAAACAAGTTCGGCTATTTATTGCATAAGCCTGATCAACATTGAGTCGATAGTTGATAGAATATTTTTCGACTGGAAACACTAGCTACACGGGCAACACATTTGCATAATGAACTGTCATTTTGCTCCGTCTTGAAAAAAGACAGACTATAGGAATACTTAAGAAAATAGGCATTTGATTGTGTACACTATAAGTTTCCGGAACTGGCCACTTACATAAACAATATTTAAAAAGTAATTACAACATTAGAAAATGGAACTCTTTGGCTGTAGAATACAGTTTATTTCATCTGACTGTCACTTGTTTTTACAATGTGGCGTAAATTTAGAAATAGGTTGTCTACATCGTAACGGATTTAACTTGTGAAAATTTTCGTAGTATGATTTTCTGCGACTTTAAGTGTAATTTAATAGCTTAGCGGAGGTTCGCTCGGCTTCAAACTGCTTTTGGCGATGAAGCTCCATGCACGACGACTATTTAAAGCTGGTTTGCAGAATTGAAACGCGGTCGTGTGAATCTCAGTGAGGAATCGTCTCGTCTCGTGTCAAAGTCTCGTGATGGTTGCCCGTCCACTGCTGTGAAAAACAAAAATATCGTTGCTGTGCGCCGTATGATCAAAACAGACAGGCATGTGACATACCATGAGATTCGGGCATCTTTACGCATAGGCCTGAGTCAAATACAATCAATACTACACAAACATTTGGGCACGAACAAGCTGTGCTGTTGGTGGATCCCACGCAATTTGACGGAGGCTCAAAAAACGTAACTTGGTGCAATGCCATGTTTACCAGATTCAACAAACGGGCGTCAAATTTGGTGTGACGAAACATGGATTTATAGTTACGATCCCAAAACAAAGCGGCAATCGAGCGTATGGGTCTTTCGAGATAAGCCGAAACCAACCAAAGTGGCGCGCGTGCAAAGTACCTCTAAGCGGAAGATTGCTTCTTTTTTTTAATAAATCTGGACACGTGGCTATTGTTGCTTTGGAGAATCGTTGTACCGTGAATAGTGATTGGTACACGACCATTTGTTTGCCGTAAGTTATTGACAAACTCCGTAAAAATAACCGTAAACGCCGTATTATCTCAAACCACGATAATGCCAGGTCTCACACGGCCAGTCAGACAAACGAATTTTTGAAGGTGAACAACGTTGACCTTATGAGCCATCCCGCGTACAATCCCGACCTGGTACCTTGTGACTTTTATTTATTTCCAAAAATTAAGAACCAGTTACGCGGTCAACGGTTTTCATCACCTGAAGAAGCTGTCGAAGAGTATGAAAAATATGTTTCAGAGATTGTCACGGAGGAATGTCATAAATGTTTTCAAAATTGGTTCATTCGTATGAAAAAGTGCATTAACGCTAACGGAAAATATTTTGAGAAACAATAAATTCATTTCTGACTACTTATAGTATTTTTTTCTTATTCATTCCGGAAACTTACAGTGCACTTCACGTATTTAATGACTTACCCTAGTCTCATGAAGGGTTTAAAAAATGAGATAGTATTATTTGCTGATGACACTTCCTTAGTCTTTAAAATTAAAAGGCATTCATATTACTATGACGATGTGAAGAATGCTATTTTAAAAGTTGATTGGCTTACAGATTATAACCTTCTCCTCAATGAAGAAAAAAACCAAATTCTGCGAAATATACATTGCCGAATGTTAGACAGATGGTCAAATGTCATAGTCAGAAATGAAAAATAGAACGTTATAGATACTTTTGTGTCTTTATTAGATTATATATATAACTTTAGATGCTTAATTACAATGGGATCTAGATTATTATTATAATAGCTAGACTGGCATTTTGCTTTAGGTTAATTCCTCGTTTAAGGTTAAGTCGATATTAATAGAAACTTTGTCCTGCAAAAACGTGCGATTAAGGCAATTTACAATCTAGGCCCTAAATTGTCTTTGAAAGAAATTAACATTCTTACAATGGCGTATATAATGAAAATTAGTTAAGAAGAATAGTATTTTTTAATAAAAAGTAGTTACATAACATTAATACGCATAATAAAAAATTTCTGAAAATTTCAAAACTTCCTGACAATCGTCTTCACATAGTCACAAATTCATTTATGGGCAACGTATCCGCTTTTTTAATGAGATTCCGGTTGATGTTCAAAAGTTACTTTTATAAGATGTCAAACTATGGTGAAACAAAATTTTTACACTTAAGAATATGACACTATTATACAGCTACTGCATTCTTCGTCGTACTTCAATGATAAAAATCCATGGTAACCCGTTTAGCTCTTGCATGTTGTTTGATCTATCGTATTTGAAATAAATATAAATAAATGAGAGATAAGGGGCACTATTTATCGACTGTTCCATCCATTTTATAGGTATATGTACGTACGAAAAAAAAATGTACAGTACGAAATATGTATTTATCTAAGTATCTATAGTTTTAATAATTTAATGTTTTTGATATTGTTTTTCTTATACATAATTTTGGTTTTGTTGTACACGTAAACCCATTATTGTAATTATTGTCTCCTGTATTTGTGTCTGCAGCAAGAAATTTCTGTTAGAAATAAGCTGAATCTTTTGATTGTGTTTTCCTTGTTACTAATAGCGTTTTTGTTTTTTTTTCTGTACAATAAATAATTAAAAATAAATAAATATTGTAAATGCTAAATGTAGATATATAAATATTTGTTTACGAAGAACAAACCCCAGAGTTTCATCCTTATTCTTATCGGGCGAACCTGCCTTACGAAAGGTGACGATTTCAAGTATAAATTCCTTGCCTATGAAGATTATTTGAATTTGAGTTGATCTCTCGGATCTAGTGAACCGTGGCTGAACGGTTACCATGGCGGTTTGCCACGCAGGCCGGGAGAAATATTTGTATGGGCTACGTTTATTTCTCTCGTGCACTCGCGCTACAGGATTTCCCTAGTACGGGGCTATGAGTGTTTACCAGTTAAGACTCTCACCAGTATAGAGCATTATTGCTCTAAACGCCTCCTTTGAGTAGACCAGCGCCTACGGGATGTATACGTACAATACGCGCCCAATACGGTGTGATTTATTCTCAATACTTTAAATATTAGCTTAATAAAATCAATTCTCATTGCCTACTATACATAAAACATTAAGGGCCTCTCTCGGCATTAGCTTCGTTAATGGAAAGCAAATTAATAAATTATCAGATGATAATAATTTCCAGTCACATCGCCTGTGGGAAATTGCCTCCGTTCTCGGTTATCTGGGTCGCATTAGGTTTTGTTACGAAACAATGTCAACGTCGGAAACAATTATGGACTAGAAAAATATAGTTTGTTAATATGTAATAAAAATGTTTTATTTTTATTTGTAGATTAATTAATTGTTAGATGGTTAGCTAAATAAACCATTTTAAACAATGGTTAAACATACATACAAGCGATGAACAAACTTGTAATTGTTGTTCAATTTTTTTTTATAACATCTAGTGACGGGAACGAACAACAATGAAAATTGCAATACTTATTTAAAATAGAAGCAGATAGAAATGCATTAAAATGCCGTTTACGACAGAATTCACAATATTGATGATAAATATTCATGCAAATATCCACACATCCTGGATTCCCTTTAAAAAGGAACATAACAACGCGGATAGATTACATCACACGTCAAACCTGCTTTATACACAAACGCCGAAGAAATCCTGTTGAAATAATTAAACTTTTGCAATCCCGATGTAATAGAGTGTTCCGCATATATTTATCTTTTTCTTGCTTTCGGTTTAGTAATCCCTTTTAATATTTTAGCTATAGAATTATTTCAGAATTTATATCGTTGACCAACTAAATATACAAATGGGAAAACCATAACTTTATAAAATAATTGTGTCGATAGCAAATGCACAAGCCGCACTCATTAAAGTCACTCTTTGCATATAAAGTGAATTCTGTCAAAGCTGCAATGAATCCTACACTCATGTTAATCGAAATGAATCGATAACGAAAACAATCGATTGTTCAGCGCACGATTGCGAGTTTGTAGTAGTGATGAAAAAAGTGTTTCTGGTAAAGAGTAATTATCGATAGGTAAGGTTAAGACAATTGAGAAAATGAGTACTAAATTTCATCGAACTGAATTTATACATATTTATTCTATTTGAAATTTAACACCAGGACGAAGAATTTAAAAATTAAAGTAGTTTTGTCTGGAGTCTGAGATATTCATTTTAATTACAGTCTATTTACGAGATGTGACTAGAAATAAAGTTATAGTAAAAATTACATTAATTTTTGAAAACGCAGATTGTATAGAATATGACATGTATCACATACGCCTCTATAGACTAAAGTAGGTGTAACATTCTGTGTTTTTGTAATAATAACACACATGGGAACTGGTAAGTCTGTAGTTTACAGATCAATAATTTGTAATAATTTTAATAGACTAAAACTTTTCGAGTTAGTGCTTCGATAAATCATCGTAAATTTTGTCGTCATTACAAAACATGAAATTTATAAGAATAAAACGAAGTTTGTCATAAAGTCTTGAATTTAGAGTGGGTATTTGTGAACTAAATGCAGGTGCATGCATCCCAACGTATTTGGCAGTTTCGTAGAAGTGAAAGAACACTTAGTAGTCGAAGATCTTTAAAATATTGTTACAATCGACAAATTGCTCTCACACATTCTTTTTTATAGCTTAACTACTGAGTTCACATTAGTTAGGTTGCGTCCGAATATTATACCGTACCTTAACTTTAAAGCATAATATCAAAATAACTGAGGTACGCTTGAAGAACTTTTTAAAGTATTTGTATTCCACTTGATTATTAACAACCAGTAGCCATAAAAAGCGTTGTAATTGTGAGATTACTTTTATTTTAGCGCATATTTGAAACCGTAATAACTGTAGTGTTGATTAAAAACAAATCTCAGATGTCGATATTTCAGTCGAACGTTCCCCTCCACTGATGTCAAACAAAATGCACGATTTCCATGTTCTATGCCACGTGTCCGCCGCATGTACACGACTTTACCTCACACCCTGAATTTAAGATTAGTAAATAACACAATATTACTCTTTGTTTTTACGGTTTTTAATTCTAATCGTTTTAGACACGCTTTATTCAACACGTGCCGCGTGAGTTGGTTGAATTTTAATCGGGTGCCTACTAAAAATGTTGATACCGATTAAAATGCTAAGGGGTGCGATCAGTTACTCAGTGCTGTCGGTAACGGTGCAGCGATACAATCGCTATTTCCTATTGTACCGTTTGAGAAACGCATAACGGATATTTTCGGCATCCTTGGCTAGATAATCTTTTACAATTATAGGAGATATTTTTTGTTTGGAAAGAATCCGAGGACGTCATCAATGACGGTGCACTATTATACAAGTATGTTTAAATTGATATTATTTATTTTATTTATATATTTTTTAACTACTTTGTTGTTATAATTTATACAAAGATCGAGCAAACTCAAAGAAAAATTCTTTCGCTCCGACTGGACTTGTATCCAGCAACATTTTGTCGGTTAACGCGAGTTATCGCTCTCCCAATGGCTGATACGCTACACTACCCTATCTCAAGCGACCCTATCGATGCCTTACTTTCTCATACTCGTATCTTATAAAGAGTGATTATTCAGAAGATGGTAAAACTTTCTATTTATTTTAAATTTCTTATCAAGGGTGTTAATATGGATGCATTCCTTTAAGAATAAGTAAAAGCCAGTGTGTGAATATGAAGCAAATGTGATATGAAATCAGCCCGCAAAATTTGTATGTACAATCCATTTTTTGCATCTCAGTAACTTTGTGCTTTAAGATACGAGTTTGAGAAGGTAAGGCGACGCTGTGAATAACTTCGGGAGGTGTAATAAAAGTTAGGGAGATATTCTGGACGACATATAAGTAAAAAGAGTGGCACCGTAATTAGGGGCCACGCTCTCCTTAATATAGGTCCATGGAATTGAGTAGTGTAAGAAACGTTTGAGCTACAGAACGAGTCAGCAAACCTTACCGTAGCACCTCCCGTGAGAAAACTATGAAAGTTTTAATATTGTTTTATTCAATATTTTATTAAATTACGTACAATGTTAGATATCATAAAGTAATTTATAAAGAAAACTAATTATTACAGTCACAATGTTCATGAACGTACACTGTTGGCCAAACATAAAGATTATATACAGTCTGCCAAAATCTTTTGCTGTGCCGTAATGTATTGCAATTGTAAATATTATAATATTTACAATTGCAATCTAGAGAAAGTGACATTGAAACGGATATAACTAATTTAATGAAAACTGTGTAAGAGACTTGACATCAAAATGTTTTCAGCGTCTATTACGATTTAACTGCCTCGGTGGCCGAACGGTTATCATGCTGGTCTGTCACGTAGAGATCCCGGGTTCGATTCGGGATATTTGTATAATTTACATTTATTTCTCTTGTGATTTTATGTGATTTTCTCTTGAAACAATAATAATCTGTCTGTAAAATTTAAAATGAATTACGTAATTATTAATTAGAAATTAACATCATTCCAAAAAAATGTTATAATATGTTAAATAGTCTAGATATTTTTAGAAACTGAGTAGGAGAAGTATGATTTATTTAGTAAAAATTATTTCTCACTGTTTTAAGTGACATATATTTAACATTACGCTTAAAACTACTTTCTGTACTATTTAAACAATTTATGACATTCCTTTGAGTTCGACGTGAGCGGCGTCACCTATTGGTAAGTTTTAACTACACCAACTGCAATCGTTATTCAAGTTGTTCAACCGACAATCGGTTGAATGACGTCTTAGTCTCAACTTTACCAGCTAGATGGCGTTAAGAGTACATACTGTGCAGGGAGTACTGGATATATATATAATAAAATATTACACACAACCTGCATTGCATGAACTTATAAAACCAATATAACAACTCCTTTTTTGAAATTGTTGCTTCATTTACTGTTCATAAAATGTTAAAGCTTTCAAGAAGCAAAATACTTGTTTACCTACTAACGAGTAGTTCCACTTCGAAATACATTTCCAAGTCACATTAGGCTGTCGTATAATTATGTTGCAGTAGAAAAGCAACCTTTAGCACCACTATTTCAGAGTCCAACCAAATAAGTTCTCAAGCTACGAAACATATATGAAACTGCCGATTTTCAGTTTATTTTATTCCCAATTTTAATCTCAGTCAAATTATTTGTGCTGTTTAAAGTTTGATTAGCTAAAACATACTCATTATTACTCCGTTTCATGGCCCAGGTGATCCTGGAACTAGGCCATGGTGTTGTTGTAGAGTACGAAAATGTGGGGTTCGTATAAAGCCATCTAAAGCTAGTCGTATCCCTGATAAATTGGTCTCCTAATTTGCAATTTGCTGCCATGAAAAAAACTGTAAAATACACATTAAAGTTACTATTTAAGAGTACCTATATTGTCGCTTACTACGTGAGGCGCACTATAACTTTCCGGAATGAATAAGAACAAAATATTCGAAATGGTCAAAAATGAATTTATTTATCGAGTTCTTAGATTTTCGCGATTGTTACACATAGGAAATGAAACTATTTTTCCAGATTTAAATCGCGTATATTTGTTTTTTCAAACAAACCGACGTTTCCGGCCCTTTACAGGTCCCATGGTCACGAAATGGTCCCATGGTGACCAGTACAGCAAGCAAGCACACAAGCACAAGCACAGCAAGTGACAGTCAGATTAAACAATCTGTATTCTACAACCAAATAGTTCCATTTTCAAATTTTGCAATTACTTTTTAAATATTGTTTATGTAAATTGGTCTGTTCCGGAAACTTATAGTGCGCCCTGTATATAATATAACTCTTAGGAGTTGAGGTAAAATATACTTATTTTAAATTATATTTCTTGTACGCCTTGTTCGTATGAAATTAATGAAAAATAAATAAAATAAAACTTCTAACACCTGTATTACCTATATTAGTATAGATCCCGTAAAGTATTTTTCTTACAAGTCCAAGTCGTGGGCCTGGTGGTAAGCTACACGCCTGTCCATAACACTTGCAGAGCCACTCAAACCTTTATGGCTCAACTCACACTGGCGCTGAGTCGAAGCATCGTCGCGACGCGTCATGTTTTTCGCCTATAGCATATTCAACTCTATTTTCCCATTATTAAGGTACAAACTTGTGTTATGCAAATACGGAATCGCGCGTCGACGCGTGACGACGCTTGGTTAAAGTCGAGTGGTTTCGCGCGTCGCCGTGCCCTCCTTGCGCGCAGTGAGGCGTCGGACGCCGACCACATTGTGATCCGGGCGCGAATACGGGCGACATGCGTTGTAGTTGAAAAACCGAACGCGACGCTTCGACTCTGCGCCAGTGTGAGTTGAGCCTTAAATGCAAGGATCTGAGGGGCACTTCTGCGCCCATCACCTTGAGACATAAGTTGAAAAGTCTCATGTAATTTCACCAGCACCCTAGCCTTCAAAACCGGAACGCAATAATGCTCACATTACTGCTTGGCGGCAGAGATAGGTAAGTTGGCAGTACTACACTGGACGAACTCTTTCACAAGGAGCTTTAATGCTACTATCTAACAGTGTGCGAACTGTCACTTTCTGATTGAACCCGATCACGAATTCGGGTTCAGACGATACAAATTTAACGTCATATCTCGAGGTGTAACTGTACCCGGGACTGGATGCGAATCAAATTTAATTATTTTTGAAAGCAACCGGTCCCGGTATCACACAATATTCGCATTTGGGCTCATTCGGATTCCGTTGCAACTTTAAACCGACCACGGGTTCAGATGCTACAAACTCTACTTAAATAGTACAATAGTACCGCACATAAAAAGTCAATACTCTTGTTTGTGTCATAGCGCTTACGTTGATTCGATATAAAATGTTCAATGTAATTAAAATAACAAAAATTAAAATGGGATTATTTAAAAACAAAAAATAAATGGGATTATTTAAAAACAGCATTCGTTATGCAAGATTTTACTTACGACCCAATTTTCTGCAATTAAAATCATGCATTAAGCATATGTGTTCGAAGACCGTTCTGTTGTTGTCATCAGTCTTGTCGATTGTACATATTTCACCCATTTGCAAATTATTAATAACACACGTTTCTTTCATAACACATGCGCGTTTCGCAAAAGCATCTTGAAACGAATCTGAGGGATCCTGGTCATCGTAGTCCTATAGATAATTTAAAAAGTATGAGTTATAAAGTTCTTTACAATGTCAAATGTCACATTTGTCTAAATAGTAAACATTATAGATTTACTAGTAATTATTTTAGATAAATAAAAGTATCGACGTGTAAATTAATATTATGCAAAGATATATGTTATTTTATGTATCGAGTTTTTACGTTTTCGCGATTAATACACATAGGTTATGTAATTTTTATTTAAATATCGAATCTAAATAAAGAATAAAAACTACTACTTTTTCATTAAAGAAACTGACCTTGTTTTGGTTCACAATTGCGAAACATGCACAAAAAAAACAAAATTTTTTTAAGTCTGTTAAAAATTGTATTTTTATACTAAATTTAAATTACATTATTGCATTTAAAAAAAGATTTATTACCTGTCCCGATGAACATGGTAGAAGTGACCGTAGGACTGAAAATTTATACTTTTTATTTACGTGTGAAGTAATGCATTGTTGTAAACAACAAACCTTTTGAACTTGTACAGTACCAATTTAAAGGAATTATATTTCTTACCAATAAATATAATAAGACACTCATTTTTCGTCATGATCTGAACCTTATAATTATTCTACCATTTTCATTTTATACACTTATTTTGATTACTAATGTCGCACATGTCTGCTTAGCACTTGCACTTTAAAACTAATTTCACCGGATACATAAAAATAAGTTTACATTAAAGGCCGGAACACTAAATAAAGTAAATTAATTAAGTTTTTAGGTATTGCGATCGCTACACGTTGGAAATGGTAGTGGATCACCTAAAATAATAGAAAGTGTTCAAAATAGATGCGGTTAGGTTGGTCACCGATAGCAGCCTAGTGAAATTACAGGTACATGGGACTTATCAACTTATGTTTCAGTGTACCGGGCGCAATAGCAGTGCCCCTCAGATCTTTGCGATTTAAAGCTCTGAGTGGCTCTGCAACTGTTATGGACAGGCGTGCAGCTTACCATCAGGCGCACGACTTGTTCGTCCGTCACTTGATATTATAAAAAAAACTGCCTTTTTTGTTTCTTTATCCCCATAGTCGTTAAATTTTCTATCAATTTTCCACGTTGTTTCTCGAGATGTTTACTTTACGTACAATTTGATCCGTATACTTCGTCTCCTTCTTCAGCCTTTAGTCACCCACTGCTGAGCGTAGGCCTCCTCATTTGCACGTCATGCTCTTTGATTTTGGGCTACTTCATACTTCGTTACTTAATTAATATATTATTTTTAATTTATCCGGAAGCATGACCTAAATTTTTAACGACAACCGAAAACTTGCAGTTTTTACGTGTCAACATTGACGAAGGCCGATGACAAATTGGAAATCGCATTATTTATCAAACTTTCAAATATCAAATATTATTTGAATTAGTTATTATTATGCAGTTGGTGCTTGCTTATCGAGTTCTTAGATTTTCGGGATTATATAATTGTGTCCAATTATTGTTTAAATTGCCAAGACTGCTTTACTATTGTATTGGACCGCTCTGTGTTCAATAGCATTTCTCTTGCTTGGCTAGAATCAATACAGAAAAAAGATATAATTAAACAATAAACGTTCTAAACGTAGAAAAGCTGAAATGAATGAAAACGGCTAGCTGCCATTCCCTAAATAAATAAAAGAGTACGTATTTTCCTGTCTGGATTATTTGTTTTTAGAACAAAAGAATTTACCTAAAAATGATATTTTGAATATTTTTGACTAAATTGAACCAATAACAAGCTAGTATTAGCGTGCTTAACAATGATCATCACTTACGCCCTATTCTCTCGCAGTTCAATTTCAGTAGTGAGAGAGTTTGTTGAGTAGCAGCATAAAGTTTCCGTTGCTATAATTGTAGCTGCACACCTCCTCTATGTAACGTACGTTACCATAGGTATTTAAAAAATAATACAACTATAGAGATTTAAAAAGTCACACAAGTGCAAATAAAGTTCCAGCAATTAGGGTTTTGTAGTCAAGACCTAATGTTTGGGTAACACGCAATGACTTTCGTAATCCAATTTCGGTAAAATTTTGAAAATCTTTGTAACTTCGTTTTATTTTTCCTGTAAAACATACTACTACAAATTCTAATAGAAGATATTAATTATTTAAGATTTTTAGTTGTGAAATTAAATACATCATTTTTACATATTTGATCTTAAGAACCATATATAAATGGAATATATTGTATTTTTCCTTGGAAACTGAGTGTACATTGTGTATATTTAACTCAATAATTAAAAAACTGAGCAACACAACATTAAAAATATTAATTTGCATTCTCATATCACACTCCACTTGACCTTATTGGTCCAAAAAATTATTTGACTCTGGGGAATTTGCGGACGTGTTTAAAAAACGTGCCAACATCATTTATTCTATGAACTCATCGTGAAACTACAAAAGAATAAAAAAATATATATATAAAGTTACAACAAATATTGAACCTAAATTATATATAAATTATAAGGTTACGATAAACAGAAAATTCGAAAGAACAATGGCGAACTCTCGTATGAGTTTTTGTTGACCTAATTTGTGTACGTCTATTTATGAAAAATATGCGAATATCGACTTTCAATTCCTGTACAAATTTAGATTTGGGTTTACTATACTGAAATTTCTGGAATTAAACATATCCCAGTTTTGGTTCCAGAGGTTATTTTATATAATCAATAAAATATATGCGGTATATTATTATACCAAAATAATTGTAACTTTTTTATTTAAAAAATCCGACCTCTAAAGTTGATGGAACTTATAAAATACTTTAGTTGGAAAATATATTTACCAAGTTTTATTGAAATCGGTTGCCGTAAAGTGCGTGAAACCGGATTAATTCTCTAATTTGCCACCTTTAAAGGTGGAATATGTTCGTCAAATTTAAATAGGATCAATACTGAAGTATGCTCTTTCCAACAAAACAAGAATCATCAAAATCGGTTCACAAATTCACGCGGCCGAAGCTATCGCGCAACATACATAAAAAATACAGTCCAATTGAGAACGTCCTCCTTTTTTTGAAGTTACTTACTTACTAACTTTTTTGTGAAAGCATGCCTGCCAGCTATCCCTGATATCTGGAACTTTTTTGTCAGTTTTACCTCTTTATCGCGTGGCGTATTTGGAGAAGGAATTATCTATTTTATATTTTTAACCGACTTCAAAAAAAAGGAGGAGATTCTCAATACGTCTGTGTTTTTTTGTATGTATGTTACGCGATAACTCCGGTATTTGTGAACTGATTTTGATGATTCTTTTTTTTTGTTGGAAAGTACCCTCCTTAGTGGTCCCATTTAATTTTGAAGAAAATCGTTCACCTCTAAGGGTGGCTGTTCACGCATGAAGATTCATTTTTATAAATAGCGCCTAAATTTAATTAATTTAATTGTTGATTTTCCTATTCTCCAATTCAAGGCGTTTTTCTTTCTCAATGTACTAGGAGTAGTGAGAACCGATTTTTATTATCTCCTGTGTTAAGTCCCGTATAGTGGCAAACTAGGGGATGAATCCGGATTTGTGCACTTTCCGGTAACCGATTTCAATAAAACTTGGTAAAACATATAATTACCAAGTTTTACATATAATTCCACGTACTTTTGAGGTCGATTTTTTAGTACTCTGTACTGAGATTATGTAATAAAGTAGTAAATCTTTTATTGCTATTACGTAGGTATTAAAAATCTCTTCTTGGCGCTTAGATGTCGCTCAATTTTAAGAAACTGACAGTTGTAGATGATCAGTCCGATTGCATACTCATTAGTCATTTGAGTTTCATTTAAATATGATTTTATATCCAGATTTAGACAGGCCTTTAGTACAATTTGAATCTGAAAAATCTAATGAATTTATTTTATTCAAACTTGTAATTGTGAACTTTGAAGACGCTAAAAAATTCCTTTTTAACAATAATTTCGCCATTGTTCTAAATTTTGTAATAAAATAAAATAAGACTTAATGATGATAAGCAATACCACCATAGATAATATTACAAGTGCGACCATGTTTGCACTTCAAATTAGCAAAATACTTTAGGTCTTGCGCGAGATAATTTACACGACCATAACGTACACCGCGAAAATGACGGACTGGGCTTACGTATGTAGAACGTCGCGTACTGCTGACATACTTGCCACGCAAACTAAGCACTTCTACTCTATTTGTTGTTCTATGATTATCTAGCGTGAATTTGAAGTTTCACGTGAGCGTGAATGATTACACGTGATGAACATTTAATACCAATTGTAGTAGTTCATTCAATGTAATACAAATATATTTAAATGTATATCAGCCAGAAGACGTCCATTGTTGAACATACGCCTCTCCCAAAGGTTTCCAGACTAGTCGATCGGACGCGACGTGCATCCATCATCGGTTACCCGCCGCCCTTACCAGTTGAAGTTTTAAACTAACTCTTTACACTCTGGGGTTAATCTGGCCGGTTTACTTATAGTAAACAGAATTTCCACCAGTGAAATACAGAATGCGAAACAAAGAGGCTTAACCTTTATGTGAAACTTTATTAGCAGGAACGTACAGAGAATATGCCTAACTTAAATATAATGAACGAAACGCTGTACAAAAACCGACGATACTGTACAGAGATGTTGTACAATGAGTGTAATTTGCTTGCCATAAGACAGTTATATATATACAACATTACACAAAGATACCACAAATCTGCTCTCGCAACCTGGGTGGCAAGGTTGCGAGAGCAGATTTGTGAATATAAGAGAAGACCATGTATTGCTGTTCCACAATTTAGAACAAATTTCGCGTAAAGACAATTTAGCTTTAGAGGTCGCATACTGAAACTGAAAAACTTTTACATCCAATACAATGACAAATGCGTAGATAAACCACAACATGCACACATACACACACACACACACACACACAGACACATGTGAGCACATAACAAATTATATAAGTACTATAATAAAAATATATATTAAAATAAAGTAATACTCTAATAATAATGATAATAATATAACATGTTTACTAATATTACTAGTATTAATATTTACGTACTAGAATTTGCTACCAGCTGCCATACTAGTTATATTATAAATAATACGTACTTGAATTGTGGTACATTGATCGGGAAGGTACTGTCTCCCAAGATACAGGTTCGCCTAGTTTGGGAGATAGGGTGATAATGTATATGTACTTGCTCTTGTATCAAGAAAAATATTTCAAACAAAAATTTCAATTTCAAATATTGTTTATGAATGATAAGGTATAAAAGAAATAAATAAAAATATAACGTCAGGCAAATCAATGATGAAATGCTATGTTGTTGTAATCGATTTTTAAACCCCACGACGCAAAAAGATGGAAATTATAAATTTTGAAATACTATTTATCACATTATAAAGCATTTGAAGCCTTCGCTTGTGTATCTGCATGTCTGTGGCATCGCAG